GAGAGCACTTCAGAATTAGATAGTGCTCCAAGTTGTCGAAGGAAATAAAAAAAAGTCCGTGGCCTGTGATCGTTCTATTAGGGGAATTGTTACCTCCTCGCGATTTTTCTTTTTTTAAAAAAAAAAACAAAACTTCACGGTAGGAACTTCTCTATTTCAATCCCGCTCGGGACCTGTTCACATTTCCTTCCCGGAGGGGCTGCCACTCTTTTGGAAGGACCTTTCTACCGCACCCACTAATGCGCGGGCCCGGGGGCCCTTTACCCTGTTGATTTTTAGCCAGTGGACCTGGCGCACACACGCACAGGCACGCTGTTCTTAGAGAGTGAAGCGGGCGAATTGGTACCCTCCAAAGATCCGCTCGGGGTGGGAAGGAATCCCGCGTTTCCCCGAGTGAGGTTCGGGGTCCGGATTAACTCGGTAAAAAGCTCTTTGGATGAAAGGAACCCCGGGCGGTTCAGGTCCTTGGGGAGGAGCGCGCAGCTTGCGCCGCCGGCGCCCCGCTCCGGGCGCTCCGCTCCCGGCGCTCCGCTCCGGGCGCCTGCACCGGGCGCGGGCCTGGGGGGACGCGCGGCGCGCCGGTCCAGCTTTCCTCTTCTTTCTTTTCCTTATCGTCCGGGTACAGGATTAGGAATTTCTTTCTAGGCTGAAACATGTAAGCTGCATCGCCCAAAGCACCCCCGGCCCGGGAAACCGGTCCCTGCTGCCCTCCGGGTTCCCGATGTTAGGCACAAACGGCTTCAGGCCCCTAAAGGAATCCTCTTGCACTTTTCTGAAGGACCCGTTATTTCCTCCGGACTCGGAGTTCACTATGATCACCATCGTATTTTCCAGATCCATGGTGGTCCCCAGGGGTCCCTGGGGCGCCTTTGGGAGGGGAACCCCCCACCCCCCAGCCCTCGATGAGGCCTAAGATGAAGGAACATGTGCAAGCAGGGGGCACCAGGCTCCACTGGCTCCGACCTCGCCTTTGGTCTGGCAGTGACTTTGGACACAGGAAGCGCGCCCCTCCACCACGGGCTGGACTGAGCTGCCGGTAGGGCAGGCGGGGAGCGCGATGCTCGGCCGCACACACGAGCAAGGTGGGAACGTTCCTAAATAGCGTTTCCTCCAGCATCATTGTAAAGGAAACGCTTGGAGAGTTTTTCTCCTGGAGGCCCCTCGCCAACAACCTCAGGACCTGAGCTGAGTGTGGCCCAGTTTGGGGAGCAAGAGGAGGGAGAGGGCTGGCCGGCTTTGGGAAGAAGAGGCGCCCAGGCGGAGAGGGAGCGCAGGTGGCAGGACGCTGGGTGTGTTTATCCCAGCGCGCCGGGCGCCCGCAGCCTCCCCTCCCCCGCCTCACCCGGGACCCTACTCCCACTGACCCCGGTGCCGGGGCAACCGGGCTTTGGAGAGATGTCCCACTCCGGTGCGTGTGGAGAGCCCGGATTCCCTGGCCACCAGCGCTGAGATTGGCCCTGACCGTCTCTGGCTGTCGTTTCTCTCCAGATGCAAGTTCCGCCAAAGAGCCGTCCACCGGTCTCCAGACAGGACGGCGGAGCCCCTCGCGCGAGGCCTGGAGTGGCCACCAGGCGCCCCAGGGCGTCGAGCGAGGGCCGCTGCTGCCCCCTGGCGTCCGCCAGAGCCTGTGGGTCCGGGAGGCCCGGGAAACGCTTCTTTCCCCACCCCCACCCCCACCCCCAGTGGCTCCTCGCACGCACACAGCTCATCAGCCTCTACCGACCCGGCCCTGGGGTGAAGGAAACAGGGCCCCAACTCCTGAGGGAAAGGCCTCCAGGCGCGATCCTCCACTGTCCCCGCCTCCACCAGGTCCCGAGGCGGCCCCGGCCCCCGAGCCGTTCGTGCACGTGAGGGGACGGGGAAATAAGAGAGCCACGGGGACAAGTGAAGGGCTCCCGCTTGTAGAGTAGGGGTTCGGTGGTGTCCGGAGGACCAGGGGAGCGGGGAGCTGCATGGAGTGGGTGAGAAACCTACAGGGATCGCAGGCAGGGGTCCGGAGGGAATGGGCAGCCCGGGGGTGGTGGTGGGGGGAGTAAGGGTGCCAGTCTCACCGGATGTGGGGGGGTAGGCGGGAGTGGGCCTCGGGCCAGGCCAGGGCGGAGCCCGTTAAGCTCCGCGAAAATGCCCAGGCGCCGGGGGGACGGGCGCAGGGGGAAGTTCCCCGCTGTGTGTGCGCGCACAGGCGCGAGCCCGGGGGTTCGGCTGCCAGGACAGGGGTGGGGGTTAAGGGGAGTGCAGACGAGCGCCCCGGCAGTTTCCGGGTAGCTGGAGGGAGATAGCCAGGCTCGGACGATGGGGGATGGTGGCGGGAAGGGGTCGTCCTGGGCACCCAGTGGGGCGATCTGGGGGGGGTCCGCTTTCCCGCCCGCAGCCGGCGTGTGCGCCCCGCCACGGGCTTTCCGTCCGCCCTGTGGCAAGCCCACAACTCTGTGGACCTGGAGTTGGCGGGCGATCGGATGCGTTCAACTTTCTCTTCCAGTTCTCAGTTCTTTCTTTGGGGAGGGGGGAGGTCTCCTCTTAACTAGAAACTCCACTGCCGGCCGCCCCGCACGCACGGCGAAAAGCATTCATTAAAACAAAGACACCACGAGCGCTAGCTTTCAAAAGTCACGAAAATCCTGGATCTTAATGACTCCTGGCAGCCGCCAACCCGGCCTTGGGAACGAGCCGAGCCGATCTCCCGGCCCCGGGGCCCTTGGGCCCCCTGGCGGCCGAACCTCGCTCCTTCCCGGGCCCCAGCGGCTTGACCACCCGCCGGGGCCCATTCGGGGGACTCCAACCCGGGTCCCGGCGATGACAGCTAAGTTTCCCAGACGCTTGGGGCGCCTCCCGGCAGCTTGTGTCCGGGCCCTGGTTACAGCTCGCGGGCTGGGTCCTCCCCAGGCCCGGCCTTTCTCCTCTCCTCCTCCTCCTCTTCCCGGGTCTCCCCCGTGGCCACCCGTGGCGCCGCTGCGCATTGCAACTCCCCGGGGAAGAGACCCGGCCAACCAGGCGGGTCGCTACCCCAGCGGGGTCTGCACCTGGGCGGGGCCTGGGGCGGGCGCGTGCGTGTTTACGCAGGGCCCCCGCGTGGGTGTGGATGTGCGGGGCGCGGGGAGCGGCGGTGGCCCAGGGCCGCGGCCAGCAGGGGCTGCGTACAGTAGCGCGCGGGGGCGCGCGGACCAATTCCAGGAGCGCGGAGCCGAGAGCCGCGCCCAGGCTGATACCGGAAAGGCCTGTGATTGGCTGCCTGCCGCCCCTATGCAAACGAGCTGAGGGAATGGAATTCCACGGGCCGGGCTTACAGTAAAAGCACGTTCATTTCCAGGCACTCTCATTCATAGAGCCAGCGGGCGCGGGCGGGACGGGCGCCCCGCGGCCGGACCCAGCCAGGGCACCACGCTGCCCGGCCCGGTGCATGCGACAGGCACCTCTACCTGGAGCACTTTGGGGACACGCCACCAAGATAGTCAACCTTTGCTGCTCCTCCTTTGACCTGCGTGGGACTTTTGTTTTTGTTTTCCTTTCTTACTTCTTGAATGAACTGACTCCTTGCCTTGGATGCTTCAACTTCTTTCCTGACTGTGAACTTCCCCCCCCCCTCCACCCCACCGCCGATTGTTTTCCTCTGACAACTATGGGAGAGAAAGTGCGCTGGGGGTGGGGGGCGGGGGGGTTCTAGGCGAGCCGCAAAGTTGCATGTGCGCGTGGCAGAGTGCGCGTGGGAGTGTGTGTGCGCGCGCGCGCGCGTGTAACCCGAGCCGCCGGGTCTGCGGCGATCTGCTGGGCGGCTGAGCCTCTGCCTGGCTCGCCAGGCCCCCTCCACCTGCTGCGGTTAAGCGGTGTTAGTGGGTATTATTTGGGCATCGGGGGGCAGCTCACCAGCCGCCTCTGGGGCGACGTTGGAGGAAGATCATCACGCTTGCTGCCCGGGTCCAGGCTGACTCACCGGTGTAGATGGTGGCTGGCTTCTGAAGAGTGCGTGTCTGCGTGTTTGTGTGACTCGATTGCAGCTCAGCTTCTCCAAACCACAGGATCGGCCACAACTCAACCAACAACCCCCAAGCCGTAGCTCCCTCTCAGATGTGGAGAGCTGTACTCTGAGTGTCATCGACTAGGACTTTATTTTTTTTTTTTGTTTTTTAAAGACTAGCTAGAGAAAAAGCTAACTTCCTGCACTGATCTTTTTTTTTTTTTTTGGCCAGAATTTATTGAGAAAACATGACAAGAAATTCTAAGCCAGTCCTCTTCCAACTACTGAAGCTGATTTTCAAGGCTACTTAGGAGGGAAAAAAAATTGTGCAACCAACAGTAATGGATTTCTGTTGTGTTTAAATTCTCCACAGATTGTATTGTAAATATTTTATGAAGTAGAGCATATGTATATATTTATATATGTATGCGAGCACATGCATTATTAGCACAGCTTCTGGAAATCTCGGTTCTTGTTTTGGAGGACGGAAGACAGTTTTTTTTAATGTTAAAAGAAGCGTCTTGTGTGGAAGACGCTCTTTTTTGTGTGTGGTGTGCTGTTGGGTCTTTAGGCTAACATCACTTGCAAAAAAAAAAAAACTACAGGCAATTAACTACTGGAACTTCCAAATCACGTATTTGCTCTCTGCAATAATAATAATAATAATAATCATATTTTAAAAGTGTTTGGGAATTTTACCTCTGGGAACTTGTGTCATAGCCAAAGACTGAACTTAAAACTCTCCAAAGCAAGGCTCAGCAAACAGACTCTGGATTCCGGTGGCTCACTTGTTCGTGCACTCAGCGCTCGGTGGTGTGGAGGAGCCCTTCCTGGCCTCTTCGGGTCTCGGAGGCCCGACCAGCAGTAAAACAAAACAAAACTGCCCCAGTCCCGGGCTGTTAGAAACTTAGCTCTCCTCCTCCCGCCGACTTTGTATGTGGGTGTCCCGGGAGCTGCTGGCTGAAGACCCGCGTCCCTGTCGCCCTCCGGCAGGCTCTGTTCGCAGGGTCCCTACTCAACCGGCTTGTTGTGATGCGTATCCCCGTAGATGCCAGCACGAGCCGCCGCTTCACGCCGCCTTCCACCGCGCTGAGCCCGGGCAAGATGAGCGAGCCGCTACCGCTGGGCGCCCCGGACGCCGGCGCCGCCCTGGCCGGCAAACTGAGGAGCGGCGACCGCACCATGGTGGAGGTGCTGGCCGACCACCCCGGCGAGCTGGTGCGCACCGACAGCCCCAACTTCCTCTGCTCCGTGCTGCCCACGCACTGGCGCTGCAACAAGACCCTGCCCATCGCCTTCAAGGTACCCGGGGGTGGCGGGGTTGGGGAGCGGGGGACGCGGGGAAGCGGGGGTGGGGGGATCCCCGGAGAGCAAGGGGCTAGGCGGTGGGGTTGGGGTGCTAGGCACGCGCGCGCTGGGGGCTCCTGGTCCCTTCTCCCCGAGCCGGGAAAGCGGGGAGATGCTGCTGCGTTGCCTTGGAGACCCTACGGAGGGCCCCGCCCTGGGACGAGCCACGGAGGGCTAAATAATCATGATACTCCTAAGAAATAATCATCCTAATAAAAAGAACTCAGCCTGTCCCCCAAGACATCCACAGGGGGCCAAGCCAATCGGAACCTTCTCGGCGAAGGCCTTACCTTTGACACCAGGAGAGAAGAAAGTTATGAACTAGCCAGGGGGACAAGCTTCCACAGGGGGCTCTCCCCCCCCCCCATAACACCCCGACCACTTTGTGTCTCCTAGATGAAAGTATCAGGAAATAAAATAGAGATCCTTTTATGCGTTGCGGCCAAGAACCAACCAAATAAACAAACAAACAAGCAACCAAATAAGCGTAGCAAGGGAAACTGTCCAGAGATTTATTTTTTGCCCTCTCCCACCTCTTTTCTTTGTAACTGCCCGATTAGAACGAGCCTGTCCAAAGTCCACCGCAGGCGTAGGGAAGCTTGTGGCTAAGTGTGTCCAAGTTAGTCTGCGTTTTGCCAGCCTCTGTCTAACCTCCCCCTGCCAGCAGCCGCAAGTAGCAGTAGTAGTTTCTTTTCCTGGAACCCCTGAACGGTATCTCTTGCTGGCTCACCTAGGGTGTGTGCTGGGCAGCGAAGAGTGACCAGGTGTTTTCCGAAGGTCCATGCAAGCCAGCCTTTCCGCAGCGGGGGGCCGGCTTGCAACCTGTGGCTTCAGCTGGGTCCGCCCGCTGGGTCTCCGTGCACTTTTCCCTGCTGCTCGAACCCCCGTTTTGAGCCGTCTTGAAAAACCTTGGCCTTCAAACAAGATAGATAAACAACCCTGGGGCGCTTTTAAACAACCACCCTACTACTCTGGCAGCCAGAGGAGAAACTTAATTTCTGCAGCGGGGTTCGTGTGTTCTGTTGTTTTCCGAGGGCTTAAAAATACAGCTTGCTTTTGCTTTTTTCTTTTCTTTTAGAACAATCAGCTGGGTCATTCCCTGATTATTTGAAAGGCTAATGAAGGCAGGTGATTCTGGCTGCTCTTTTTTTTTTAATGGTTAAATAATTGTCCCCTTTAAGGGGGGGGGATATAATTTAATGTAAGCTTTTTATAGTCCCCAGGCCTCTACAGAGTCTTGATCTAATTACAATGAATAATGTTCACTTTTTTTTTGGAGGGGGGGGATGCTGTCCAGGTTCTTTATTTTTAAGCTCTCTTCAAACTTAGTGATTTTTGAGTCAACAGAAATATAATTTACAGTCAGCTCTGCCCTGAGAGTTTCCTCATTTTCACCCCCACTGGGTTATTGTTTGAAAGCAGTTTGTTTAAGGAGAAGGGGGGTAGAATGAGGATAAAGGGAGTAGCCACTTGACTTTTCCTTCCCTTCTTCCATTTATTTAGATCTGGGTTTGGGAGGCCATTTCTTTTACATGGTTCTAATCTTAAGTAGAGGTTACATAAACAGACTCAGCTGGTGGACATTCTCTGCTCAGCCTGTCTGAAAGGGAACCTGACAAGTCTGGGCTCTGGGGTCACTGTCAGATAGAAACAGGGAAAAGACAGGCGAAGCCCAGGGCCATGTAAGCCAGGTTTCTGCTAAGGGATTTGGAGCTTCCTGGGGGAAAAACTCAGGGTCATTTTCTGAGTTCCATCCTCTGCCCAGGAACCCAAACCCCAATTTATCAAGGCAAGGAATGATCTAGAAGAAATCTTCAGAACTGAATCAATGAAAAAAGCTTGAGCTACTTACACAAAAGTGTTCATTTCTTCTAAAGGAGTGGAAAACTATGCACAATTGCTTTTATAAACCATCAGAGAATTCCTTTTAGCAGAAACAGGAATAATATAGAGGCTTCCTTTTAACCTGGACAATGCACTTTTTAAAAAGAAGGATCTTAATTGGTTTTACTTAGTGTTAATATGTAGACTAGGTGTACATCCCTTGGAAAAAGTTCCAGTGTAGAGAAATCAGAACACTGTGATAGGTATCTGTCACTACCCCTGTCAAGGAAACCTAGCTCCCTGCCTTCTGGAGGGGAAGCAGCTTCTTTGAGGGTGATAACAAAAGTGAAGTCTGCAAAGAAAATCTCAACCTCAACCCCCACTCCTTGTATTCTGGCTAGATTCACCGTGCATTCTTGGCTCTGTTGTCGTATACTTATCTACCTACCTGACACCTCCTTAGAGTTTCTGCAGAAATTATACCTTTAAAGTTTGGACTTTCAAAAAGTCTCAGACAATCTCTTTAGGAAGTTAATCCCTAAGGAATTCATTACTGTCCATATGCTACAGAAGCAAACAATATGACACAGGGACAAAGTCTGATGATGATGAATAGAGTACTTAAGTGCCCCCCTTTTTTTTTAGAAGTTTTCAGAAATTCTGTATAAATCTCTGCCTTAATCTTCAAAACTCAGAAGTGATTTGAAATTTAACATAGATTAAAATACCTTCATTGCTTATCTGGAACCCCCAACCTGTCTCTGGCCCTCTCCCTTCAGGGAGCAAGGCTTTTATTTTAATGGAGGGGAGACTTACTTTTACTACTGGGGAAATAAAATTTTAAATTTTCTATGTTACCCCCAATTTATAGAAGCGGCTTCCAAAACTGTTTGGCTAAATTTTTGTGAAACTATAATATTACAGTTGGTTTAGGCCCTGTTAGTTAGATCGTTGTCCCTGGATAGGCATTGAATGTCATCTTGTCATCTTGGCTGAATTCTGTTCCACTCACAGCCTTCTTCAAAATACTGGAAGATTGTGGGTTTTGAAGTAAATGAATTGTAACTGTAATTTCAAATCTAATTGAAAAATGTCACTTGAAACTGTGTCTAAGGAACCCCAAAGTAATATTGGGAGATCCATATACTATAAAGGAGAGTTGGTATTCTGCCCAACTTTAAAAACAGAAAAAGTTAAACAAAATAATGAGATATCTTTGGCCAGCAAGTCCCTTCTTGTCTGTTTGGTCTGTGTTAAAATGTAAATGTTTGTGTTCCTTTACCTATGGTTTATAGCTTTTCATCCCCATGGCTTCTTTTTTTTCTATTTGAAGTCAGATATTTTTCATTCTCTTTTTATCACCTCTCAATGGCAAAATACACAACAAATTAGCAGATGTATTCATTTAAACTACAAAAGAAAAAAAGTTTAACGTAGCCCAAGTATACTTGTTAATTTGATGGTATACATTATTCGTGAAACTTCCCTGGATTTAATTTTATTCCCTCTCCCTGCTCAAAAAAAAAAATAAATCCTTCAGTACAAATGAAAAAAATGAGTAAATGCTATCTGAGTATCCAGGTATATAATTCCCAATTCATTCCAAGAAATAGAAGGAGTGGAAGTTAAAACTCAATTTTTGAAAACCTTAAATTCCAACACTAACAGCCTTTTTGGATTTGGCCCTTAGAATTTTATGCTATATTTGTTTCTGCTTGGTGAAGGTTCTCTTGAATTTGCCAAATCACTAATGAGGGTAGTGTTGGAGAGATAAGAAGAGAGGGCCAGACTTAGGACGCTGAGGAAAACAGCAGGAGGAGGATGGTGATTCAAGATGATTTGGGTGGTTATAAAAACAAGATTTGTTTATTTTAACTCCTTTATAGAGCCAGCCTCAACAATGAGTTATTCAGTGTGAAAGACAAGCTGATGATCCACTCCCCTGTATACTTACTGAATGTTGAATGAATGTAGAAAAGCCTGGGTTAGCAGCAGGAGAGGAGGATGAGGAAGTAAAAATAAGTGTTCAGGAAGGGTATTTCAACACTGTGGACTCATTTCACAGAGGGAAGTGAAAGAGTAAAAACAACAAGAAATAGGAAAAAATTTAGAGGTTAAAAAGAGTGGGCTACAGCAAGTATAACTGGTTAGAATAGAAAGAAAAAGTAACAGGAATCAATTAGCTGATGAACAAGATTTATTTACATAATTCCTTAGAAACAAAAGAGAATGGTCATCTTACTATATACTTAGTGAAATGATATCAAACCCACGTATAATGGGAATTAAACACCCAATTAGAGATTGCTGCTTAGAGAATAGAGAACAGTGCTTTATTTAAAATTGTTTCATAGGAAACAATTGGAATACAAGGATTGAAAATGGAGATAAATGGCAGACTTTGTTTCACAGAGCAAGTTGGATACAAGTATTTTTAAAAAATAAAATGCTTACTAGTACCAAGAGAGTAGATAACCCCAGGGCAGTCTCAAGATCCAGACGGTGTGCACCTTTCAGAGAGACAGGATTCATTTTGTCTTGATTTTTAGAACCCAGAAACTGCAGCAGCCACTGCAAATACCGACAGATAGTCATTTGCAGGACATAGGGAACTGGTCCTAACCAAGTGCCAGGAACTGATGTTCTTTGATATTAAAAAAAAAAAAAACAAAACTGAATCTGAAGCTTTATTTCTATAAAGAGAAAGCGGACTAAAAAACAACAAAAAAAAATCTTCCCCCACAGATATTATGTAGCGAGGTAAAATTCAGGAGGCAGAAAATAGGGGAAGGAATAGTAATGGGTAAGTTAAGGAATGCTTCTCTGTTGCCAGTTCGGAAACAACCACCAAAATGTGCTTCTATAAATGAAACAAATAACACAAATTTCACTACTGACTGAGAATATTGTAAAAGAAGATCAGAGATGATGGGAACAAATATGACTTGGAGAATGTTGGTTTGAAATTCTATCACTTTGAAATTGAAACAATGGAAATAAAGCTAGTCATGAACATCTAGACTACAAAAATGGCTTCTAGAAAAATCTAGTAATACCGGGCATTGTAGCTTTCATATGTGATCTTAGTACCCAGGAGACTAAGGCAAGAGGATTGTGAATTCGCAACTAGCCTAGCCTGAATAGCAAGATTCTTGTCTCAAAAACAAAAGAAAAAGAGTCAAATGATGGCCAAATAGTGGGTATTGCATACAACATCTTCAGGTTAGGGCATTTTACCCTGAAGTTATTACTTTATTTCCTGAATATGATAAAGATATTTATCTACCAATTTTCTTCATGTAGCCCTGATAACAAACTCATACTTTTTCAATTATATTCAAAAGATTAGCTGAATTTGGAGTCCATCTTAGTCACTTATGAGGAACTCAGAGGTATAAAAGTCCTACTCTGCTGTATCTTTGCTTTGGGAAGAATGGTTAAAACGGGAGCCCTTTTTTCAAGTTTGTAATTAAATAACAAACAAGAAGCATACTTCTGATTTTTTTCCCCTTGTATGCCGGAGTTCATGGCTAAGGAAACTCAATCTAATGGAAGCAAGTAGGATACCAAAAATGGGCTAACAGGGGACAAGTCAAGTCATTTAAGAATGATCAGCAAAGGTATGACTTAATTTTAGCAGCAATAAGGTTAAACAAAAGTCAAGCTGAGGTTCTGTTAAAAGATAGGTTGGGTAATAGACTTGGAAACCTAAGACATTCTATTCTCACATATGAAGGATTAAGAAGATATGATTGCATTCATGAGCTGGCCCAGCTTTTCAAAGTTCTCCTATTGTTCCTTCAGTGCTATATACATCCTTGTATGGTTTGATTAGATGATTTAGTGTTTCTCTATTTGAAATTTTATATTTAGTTACAGTGGGGATAGCATAGCTTAGTGGAAGTGTACTTCCCTAGCAAGCCCAAGGACTTGAGTTCAATCCCACCAAAAAAGAAAAAAGAATAAAGGAAAGAAAGAGTACAAAAGTTTTATTATATTATATATATATAACACAGTTAAAAATGAACCTTTGCCTTCAACACTTTTGTGTTGTGTGAGTTGCGATTATTATTCCTTTGAAAACTAAAACAGTATCACTGAACACCATTTCTGAACAGTGGCGGAGTCAGCAGAGGGGCGTTTGTGTGACTTTCCTGATGTCTGTGTTTGCCCGTTGGCGGGCGTCTAGGTGGTGGCGCTGGGGGACGTTCCAGATGGCACGCTGGTCACGGTGATGGCAGGCAATGATGAAAACTACTCGGCCGAGCTGAGAAATGCTACTGCGGCCATGAAGAACCAAGTCGCAAGATTCAATGACCTCAGGTTTGTGGGTCGGAGCGGAAGAGGTAGGTGCCTGTTAAAAGTGTACTTGAACCACAAGGCTTTCCTCCAACAGTTGTCATGCTGGTCTCTCTTACTGTTCTTGCTATACCAAACCTTTTTAAAAATATATGTCTGAGATTTTATGTTTTTTAAGCTTTCTATGATTAAATCACTGGAAGAATTATTTGCAACATGCCAAATATGACATGTGAATTTCAAAAAAGAAATCGCTTAGAGTTTTACTACCCTGTGAAAAGATAAGACCACAATGGAAACCCAGAGTGTATAATAGGGGTTCTCTATTTGACAATCAAAAATTGATTTAATGGAAGCTTTTAACTTAAGAATGGTGCTTTCTATGACAAGGGACAGACAGATGTCAGTTGACACTTCAGTGGTTTTAAGGGGCACATAATTTTGAGCTAGCTTACCTTCTTAAGGCAAACTATGAAGAAATAATGCCAGCATCACTGATGACAGTATGACTCCTTGCTGTGTTTCTTTTGGTGATTTGGGAGTACAGATTAGGCACATGTAACACTTCAGATCCTAATCATGTTCAAATTTCAAGGAAACTATTGGGTCAATTCAGTGGTTGTGTGTATGTTCTTCTTTTCCTTCCTTTAACCTATTTTCAAGTATTAGGGCACAAAGGAATCTTGGCTCATTGTAACCATTTCTATTTTCCATTATTTCCAAGTATTGTAGATTATCTGTAAGAACCTCTCTCCTGTTGTTATAATGATCAACAGTTACTACAAGTGTAATTGAGATACTTAGGACAATTGGTTTTCAATTGTCATAGTATACTATGGAATAGCTTAGAAATAAAAGTTACTTCCAGTTTTATCAAAGACATAAGGGATAGGAAGGTGGCTCAGTGGTAGAGTGTTTGCCTTGTATGCATGAGGCCCTGGGTTTGATTCCTCAGTACCACATAAAGCAGAAAAAGCTGGTTAGCCAGGCGCTGGTGACTCACACCTGTAATCCAAGCTACTCAGGAGTCTGAGGATTGTGGTTCAAAGCCAGCCCAGGCAGGAAAGTCTGTGAGACTCTTATCTCCAATAAACCACTAGAAAACCGGAAGTGGTGCTGTGGCTCAAGCAGTAAAGCGCTTGCCTTGAGCTGAAGAGCTGAGGGACAGTGCCCATGACCAGAGTTCAAACCCCAGGACTGACAAAAAAAAAGCCGGAAGTGGTGCTGTGGCTGGAGTGGTAGAGCACTAGCCTTGAGCTGAAAGAGCTGAGGACAGCGTCCAAGCCCAGAGTCCAGGCCCCACAACTGACAAAAAAAAAAAAAAGACATGATAAATACTTAATAGAAATAGTTCTCGTATTAGAAAAAAATAAAACTACCATTTAAAGACATAAGTATAAAAGTAGTCATTATTCTTTCTAAAGGCTTTCAAAAATATTGCAGTTGGGCACTGGTGGCCTGTGCCTGTAATCCAAGCTACTCAGGAAGCTGAGTAGCTCACATGGTAGAACACTAAACCTTGAGTGAAAAGGGCTGACAGTGGTCAGGTCCTGAGTTCAAGACCTAGTATCGTCTCACACACACACACACACACACACACACAAGAAAATTAGAAACTATGTTCTCAGGGAATTGACTAGTGGAAGAGGGAAAGAGGTAAATGGGTGTTGACTGTTGTTTTTTTCTGGCTGTTGCTTTGGCTACCTAAGCTAACTGGAGCATTTTTATAATAAAATCATAGCTGGAGAAAATTTTTTTAAAAAAACATATAACATGATTGAAAATATATGTTCATAGTGCTGAGTTAATAACAGGGGTGGTTCAAAGGAAATTATACTCACTTATTGAAAGCATGTTATAAGCTATAAAAGCATAAGTCATTAAATAGGTTCCCCTGTTATATTAAAAGTTTCTGCCTTTCAGTAAATGGAATTCACATTATGATTCAGAGATGTGTGTTTAGAAAACATCTTGAAGGCTTTAGACGAGTGGCTGGCAGTGTGGATGAGAATGTCATAAACAATATAGGTCCCATAGCCACATCCCGCCCACCTGCCGAGTGAACAATCTTCATTCCATTCTGGTGGAATTCTCCTTTTAGGAACAGCTAGCTGAGTGTCATGTAGTCACTTTTTCACAGAAAGTATTATTATCCTCATTTGCATCTAGATGGTTCTGTGAGTCAGGTGTTGGTCATAAAATCTGGGAGAGCTATGAGGTGACCCATGCCAGTGATGTTTTTGTTTTTGTGTTCATTTTTGTTTTGTTTTTCTATGGTAGATGTTGGTGATAATGAAGAATAAGATTTTAAAAGTAGCATGCTTCTTTTTCTGATAGTGAGTCTTGGTCTCTGATCCCTCGTGGGCCATTTCTGGCCGTTTTGAGTAGGTGACTAATAGGTGCTTGTGTTTACTCGGGTGGCAGTGAACTGTTTCCCCAAGGTGTGGATTGTTTGCGTTCGGCTGGCTGATTTGTGCCAGTGTGCCCTTAAGTTTGAATAACCCCTCCCCCCCCAAAGTAAAATAGCTTCCACCAAGACTGGGCTGTCTTCTCTAGCCTAGAATGAAAAAGAAAGAAAGAAAAATAAGTATATGCCATAAATAGATAAGATTTGTCTTGAATCAAGTTTGATAATTAATAAGCAAAAAATAAGGAACGCTGCCTAAGTGCCTGTGACTCACGCCTGTAATCCTAGTTACTCAGGAGGCTGAGATCTGAGGATCACGGTTCAAAGTCACCCCAGGCAGGAAAAGTCCCTGAGACTTACCTCTAATTACCTCCAGAGTAGAGCTGTGGCTCAAAAGGTAGAGCAACAGCCTTGAGCAAAAAAGCTGATGGAGAGCTCCCAGACTCTTGAGTTTCAGGGCCAGGACCAGCACAGTAAACAAACAAATAAATAAGGAACTCGCATTGAATATTTGACCTAATTATGGCTATCATGCGTAATACTGGACTCCAGGAAACGTTGGGGGCAATGCTGTAAGGTAAAACGAGTCAGTTTCCTCTGCAGCTCTAAAATGCAATTTAATTTTGCTCTTTCAAGTGTCCACATCAAAGCCTGTCTGAGTTTCCCTTCTACTTCTTCTTTCCATTTTCCTTTTTCTTTTCTGTATTGCAATTCGCTTCCCAGTAAAAAGAAAAAGCCGACGATTCCTGCTAATTTTAACAATTACTCTTAATCTTCCTCACTTTTATCCTTCAAAAGTTCCATTATGTTTTATTAAGGGATCTTAAGATGATCTACTGTTTTGCTTTCTGCTTTTACAAATGTGCCTGAAAATCAGCCTTTATTTAGCCCAGAAGTTCCTGACTTCAGTTTCTTCTGGATACCTCTGTGCCAGGTTGGAATTCTCTAGGCATGGGTTTCCTAAAGGGGCCAATGCTTAGTGCAAAATGAAAGGCAGGAAGAGACGTCCTAGATGCTGGCCCTCATCAACCTGGTAGAAGGGTGGCAGATGTGGCATATAAAAGGATTTTCCTCTCTTCCATGGAACTGATCTCTCTGGGCACTGGCTGATGTCCAGGATCACAGCTCCTAACTTGGGTTTAGCCCATAACTGGGAAAACCTGCCTGTCCGGCTTTCAAGGCCCTGCTTACTACACTGGCCCCTCAAAATATTGGACAAGGCCTTCGCTTGAACCTTCCTCCTTTTCCTCTCTCTCCATTCCTCTGTAAATCTTGTCTCCCTCTTGGAATGTTTCTTTCTCTGATTCTGTATCTTCATGTAAATTAACCATGTCTTTACAAAGCAGGAGGAGATAGCCACTCCCAGGAGATGAGAGGGGTAGAGAGCTCAGAGAAGACCCCAGGACTAAGAGATTAGGAGAGTACACAGGTAGATAGTTCTTCTTAACAATGAACATTTTCATCACGTGGCCTAGGACTATGAGTCACCTGTAGAAAATCCAAGTTTGAGGTCAAAAGGAATTCTCTTCGGCGAAGTTAATTAGCTTAGCAGTTTATGTCAATGTACACCTAGAGTTGTATGTTCAATTCCAAGAAAATATGTCATGACATTGAAGAAATTTCCGCAGTGACATCTGTAAACAGTTTGTCCCTTTGCCTCTGTTGGCGTGTTTAATCATTTGGAAAGGAACTGATCTATCCGTGAACACAGCTTTACTGATTTTATTTTAGAACCAAAAACGAGATCTACCAGACTCTGGCATCTGCCACATTGTAAATGGAGGAAACGAATCTACCATACGTTTTCTTCTATGTATCTTAGCACTGTGATGTTTGATCTTCTGGAAATGTCATTGATAATTTCGAAAATTATTTGGAAGTCTTTTCCCCAGAGGTGAGGAAAACGCTCATGTCTGAACATTTTTGGTGTTTAATTTCAGTTTCTAGAGCCAGCAGTTTTCAGGCTTTCTGGAGATTCAGGAATGCAAGGCCAAGAGAATCTCTAAATGGCTTTTGCGTTGAACATGGAAGCCCAAACCAGTACTATGTTTTATACAGTAGACCCAGAAAATGAAGAAAGAAAGAAACAAACAAGAAAATGAAACAGATTCTGTCTGGCCTTTGGTTTTTGCCAGGGCCTGGTTAGTCTAGTTACAAAAGTAGGTCCCGTTCAGACTGCCAGTCCAGGCTTTTCTGGGGGGGCAGGGGAGTGTACAATGTGTGGGTGTCTGTCATCACTGGGACAGTCTCTTTTCCAGGGCACCATCGACCCTGGCTCCTGAGTTAGAGTGCCATTCCAGTCCTAAGAGGCCATGTGTTCTGTGGCCTGCCAGGAAAGGGTTTCATTTCTTGGTGGCATTTGTTGTTTATGTTGACCTCCCTGGCAACTTTAACCCTGCCCAGTTTCTAAATAGTACGCTTCCCAATGCTTTTATAAAGTGAAATTCATGCGTTTGCTCTTGCTATGGATGGATGTCTTCCCAGACATAATATTTATCCTGTCATAATCTGGGTTAGTTCATATTTATGTCGTGTTGGTTGTTTAAGGGATTTTCAGCCCTAGGTGGTTTTACATGATTTGGGGGCACAGAATGGAGATACTGCCTTTCAGGTGAGAAAGAAGAGAAGGTATATTTGGGG